TAAGTTCCTGCGTGGTAAATTAACCAATGAGGCTGCAATTGCTAGATTTTTATTTATTTTCAAAACACCAAAGGATGCAATATTTCATGGATATGAAATTGTAAAATAGGGGGTTTCCTTTTTTTTTTTTTTTAAATGAGGTACATATACTGTCAACGTTAACCTTGAACAACTTTTTTCCCCAGTGTTTTTCTTAAAAACAAGCTCAGCCCCATTGCCTTGAAATTCTTTTATTCAGTTCTTCTACAGTTAAGCTTTACGTTCCTGTTCACAGACAGCTGGATGTTTTTCTCTAAAGTGTACAGTTTTCACTTCAGTCAGACTTGTCTGCTCCCCACCCCCATTTTGCAATGTACAATTCCCACTTGCAGCATTTTCAGAAAACATGGGATCAACTGAGTATACAGAAATAGCTTCTTCTATAAAATTTCCATTAAAAAAATAGCAAGTTTTTATTTACAAAGTGTTTGCTACTACAAAGTAATATTTCCTATTGGTTCAAATATACTATTTGCTAATGCCAGTGTTCCTATTAGGAAAGTAAAACTTTGTATATGCATTTTTCTTTATATCTTTGTCAGTGTTTAAAGCACATATAATACTTCCACGTTCTATTTTACACTACTCCTAGCCACGTACAATGTGGTAGTAGAAATTAACACTATTCGATCAGGACGAAACATCAGCATAGCTTAATAGCAGTCGTTCTGCAAAAATAAAACTTTATAATTTAAAGGTATTTGGAAAGAAAGAAATCTGTGGAGAATTAAAAAATACGCAGCAAATTGTTCAAAAGATGAATGGGAGACTTGGACTTCCCTGAAGACACAGGAGTTTAGCACAAGAAAAAGAAAAATTTCCAAAGTGTTCATGTAACACTTTATGTCCCTACAACTAACTTCCATGTAGATGTTCAAAAGTGCTTCAGTAACGGGGGGGACGGATGGACCTGCCTTATTTATCACCTCCTGCGTGTTGCAGCGGCTCCGCAGCCTTGGTTGATGTGTGCGTCAGTATTAACTCATTGCCAAGGGACTGATCTATTGCCAGATCATCTCCGAGCTGCCAACAGACATGCACTGTTGTCAAAACTGTGCCTGTACTTGCTGGCTGCTTACTCCTGACACGATGTTGGGGATGTAAATACAAAGGTTGGTGCCTTGGTCCCAGGGCATGACTTACCGTCAGGACCCGAGGAAGGAGGATGAACTCATATCTTGGTTCTTACAGGTTCGTTCCAAGCAGGATTTATTTTTCACAGTAGGTGCTTGTGAGATACAGTGTCATAACATTTGCATATACTTCTCTGAAGTATTTTTCATATATACAACCTGGCCTTAGAGACAGGGGAATGTGCCAGAAACTTCTTGTGTGATGGACTGTGATTCAGCTGGTGTTTTCCTAAGGAAATTCTGGGAGATCCACTTAATCCCTGCATTAGCACAACCATATCTACTAATTATTCAAGTTAGAGTAAAGATTTAACAAACTCACAAAAAAACCCTGGAGACTCATTTTGTGGACTTATGTTTTAACTTTTATGGCCATTCAGAATAATGGTATGTGACCTAAAATTTTCAATGGGAAGGGCTATGGCTATGTGGTGGATTTTTCCTCTTTGACTGCCTTGGTCTTAGGGGTGTTCCATTGCTGCTTCATGGAAGGCACAAGAACAAGCTAGTGCTAGGGATTAATGTCTGTTTCACTCAGCCTGGATAATGAGAATAGGCTAAAAAGAAGTCCCTGTAAAAGACTCATTGTGTCTTGAAAAAGCTTTCCTATATACTGCATAGATTAGTTTGATTTACATCTACAACTGGATTTAAATTTTACATAGATGTATCCTGCTGTCTCATGGTGTTAATGTATCTAAATGCCTACACCTGGAGAGCATTAAATATTTAAGAATGGCATTTAGAGAAGTCAGAAGATTAAGTGGTTGCTGCTTACTCTGGCCAATACTAAGAAGAGATGCAAGTCTGGGCTACTGGGAGGTTCTTTTATCTGCTTGGAATTACGGCCCCCCTGCAGGTACCGACAGGATCCAGGTCAGCCTGCTTTTTTTATTGGAGAAAGGACAAATTAAGTTGTGCATTTACTCTATGTTGTTCCTAAGCAGGAGGATTTCTCCTGGCATTTGGATAGTTAGATGTTTCTTCTGCCCCATTTTGAGCAAGGATTTTTGGTGTCTTGCAGCTTAGGTGGATATCCTAAATGTGGGATTCTTGGGTACTGTCAAAAAGATGTAAGCAAGAAGAAAACATTTTGGGTTTGGCCGATCTTTGGGGTAGGCCAGACCAGGTGGGTGTATTAAAGATGTAGAATGAATACACACTCTCTAAACAGCTGTGATAAACAGCCCCTTCAGTTGTAACTGTCAGACTGCTTTTATGAGCATTCCCTTGCCAGCCAGTGCCAGCTGGGGCAGGTATCCATGGATGCCAACTAAGGTAATTAGGCTGAACGAGCAAGTACGTGTATGAACAGCTCTACAGTTACTTGAAAGGATGTTAATACTTAGCAGAGGGAATGAACAACTGGCAGTGATGATGGTTGTGGGGATTTTTTTTGGCAATATACCTGGGTCCAGGGGAGAACAGTTGCTCACAGCCTCTTAGAAGCACTCCCCAGACTAAATTCTAACAGCTAAATAGGAAAGAGATAATCTGATTTGGGAACTTGGTTAAGTCTAAGGAATGAGAGTTTGGGGAAGTTTCATGCTATCAGGATTTGGTTATGTGAACACCTGCTAGCAGATAATTATGTATTTAGAGCTGTTAATATGCTTGCAAGGGCAGGTGTGTCATAATCAGAATTTACAAATGATTTATTGGCATATTATTTCTAGATGTAGGTCAGAATTCAAGAAGTGGCATATTTTAAAACACTGAGTAAGCAGAGCAATGGTTCCTTAGCTTCTTCCCTGGTCATCAGTAACGCTGCACTGGGTGGTGGTTGCAAGCGCTAAAGGCTGAGATGCCTCCAGCCACAGAACATACCAGGCCTTGGAAGAACTCAGCTGTAGCGTTTGTTTCTTTAAAATTAATTAAGCTTGTACTAAGCAAAAGGATATCACCTTAAAGTATGGCTATTACTAGAATTTTTAAAATAAAAAAAATCTAAAAAGCTCATGTAGTCTTTTCCCAACTTCATCATCTCTGGTTATTTAAAATACTTGTGTTCCTGAGAGACTCTTGTAATAAAGATATAAATTAGGTGGGTCAGTCAGAAGATAACTTGTTGGTTTGTTTACTATCTACTATACCCTGTGGTTACTAGCTTTGTTTTAAAATAATCCAAAACCCAAGCATCTCTAACTCACTAAAAGGAAAGTCTTCTCCATAAACTGCCTGGGTTATTTTCAGCTGAAAAGAGCCAGTTAATTATAAAAATGAGTATTGCCCAGTGTTCAAATATGATGCACTTGAATTAAAATGGTGGATATGGTCAGAAGAAAGAGCACTTGCCATTTAAAACCTTAGAGTTCTAAATTCAAGCATTATTTTATGTATGAACTTGAGGGGTTTGTTTTTCTTTGGAAAAGAAAAAAGGATTAAAATTTGGTTATTAGGCCTCTTTACGTAATGTTACTTCAGGCTGACTTAATTGATAGCACAAATTCTTCTTACAGTTTAAAAAAACTAAACAAAACCCTTAACCAAAAGGGAAATGTCTACAGTGTGGCTTGTACTAGGTTTAATGAAGTTTACTAAAATCATACCTTCAGTTAAAATGGTATCATTTGCTTTAATGCATACTTAAATTGACACACTTTCTTAGATGAGGTGGCTTCCTGCCATTAATGGCAATGTTGAAATGAGAAGACTGGCACACCTTAATACAATTTTAAAAAGCCAAATCCACAAACACTGTGTCAGATTTCCACATAATAAAAAATACTGTCTCCCACTCAGACTTCTTCATCTAGTTTGTGGTACCAGCAAGTTTTTCTTAGTCAAATTTAGATTTTTCAAACACTGCAGCCTAAGTCCAGAAATAATGCTGGTTTGTGCAACATATATATACAAGCATTTACACACAGCGTTGTATTGGTTGCAGCCAAGTGCCTTATGAATGTATAATCAAGAAATAGAGTTCCAAGGCACAGAAACATGTCATGCATGAAAATTTAAATGTCAACTTTGTCTTATAAAAGCTGCTAGCTAGTACCAGTTGCTACTTGTTTCGTAGCAATGAACATCAAGGGTATTGCACGAGACAGGAGAGGATGATGGTAACTGAATAGAAAATGGGAAAACCAGTCTTACTAATGACCATTTTAGTCTGGGAAGTGTCTGCTGCTGGCTTCCAGAGGCAGGGATGGGCTGCGTGTTGAAGCAACTGAGCACAACTACTGCCATTAGCTTAGTGGGAGCTGGGTGGTTGCTTAATATTCTCAATCCCCTTGTTACTCATAATTGCTCAGGGCTCAGTTCAGATGCAACAGCTGCATTTTGTGAGGTCCTGCATCTGCCTGGTTTGGTTTTGGGTTTTTTGGTTGTTTTTTTTTTTTTTTAATATGTCAGTTAAGATCAACAAGAATGACTGAAAGGCTTGCCTAAGATCATATATGAGTGACTGTGGCTGGATAAGGCTCAAAATTCTCCTAGTTCCCAGACTTTAGTGTAACCACAAGACCGCAGTACTTTAGTTGAACTGCGTCCTCAACTGGAACTTGGCACAAAGAATCCCAAGGAAAGAATTTCCTTTTGAAGTCTCTTCTCAATGTTCTAACTTGTTTTGTCCTTTGTATTCAACTAATTCAGGAAAAGCAACTTCTAAAGTCTTGGTTCAGCTGTCTAAATAAATGTTATGGGCTTCTAGATAATTACTTTTTTTTTTTTTTTTTTTTTTTTCTCTGATACCAGAATTGTCCTTCCTTGTTCTTCATCTGAGATACATGAAGGTTATTTCAGCATCACTTTACAGTATTGTTCTCACTTTCTACAGAAAAAGAAACAAAATAAATATTCATTGCATGATTTTGGGGGTTTTTATAATTTTTTTTTTTTTTTTTTTTTTTTTTTTTAAAGTTGGTAGCTTGAAGTTTGCCAGAAAGCAAGAAATTTTGCAGTCTGCTGCTTTGAAGGACATGAACATCAATGGAAGGAAGATAGCAGTAAAGATCTTCCTCCTGTTAAGCAGAAGGCACACTGACTGCTAATAAAATACATTCCATTTCTGGGCAGGAAACTTTTTTTTGCCAGGTTCTTAGAGTTCAAAGTCCTCTTTAGCAGTTGAGTGTGTTGCTGGTTTTTCTTTTTACACAGATCTTGAGTGGGAAATATGAAGAAAGTGTAAAGTTAAATGCCCCCCCTAACGTATTGGGAGTAATAACGGTAGAAAATGTTTCCACCTTTAAGAGTTCCTTAGGATCCTGCATTATATCAGGTAGCTTTGATCTGCCCTTTACAATGAAAGCTGACATGACAGTTTTTGAAAAAACAATGTTTTTTTTAAGAATAAAAGCAATTATCTGTTTAATTGAGATGTCATTCATTAAGGTGACAATTCCATAATAATATGCCTGGAGTAGCTGTTACCTTCTGTCCTCTTATTTCAAAAGTGAGCAACTTCAATCAGGTGCATTGACTCTCTCAGAAAGAATATTATTTTGTATTTATAAAGCTTTATTTCACAGAGAGGTAGTGGTACGGATTTGGTTGAAGTGAGGTGGTGTAAATCCCTCAGTCTGCTGTTGCCTGTGAGCCATGAGCACAGGACAGTCTTAACAGTCTTGCCCAGAGGATTAATAACATGGTAGGCATGTTAGAATTCTTTTAATTTGTGCATTTGTAACTCCTTTGTGTGAGCTAGATAGCTCTGCTTGCTCAGCCAGGAGCCATACCTAAAGAGTGGCGCTGCCCTACCTGTACCTCAAATGCAGGAGTTCGGCCGGCTGTGACATGTTTCTGAGTTCTGAATGCAAACAGGCCACTGGGGCTTGTTCGCTCCTCCCAGTTTCTCCTGTTGGGGATGCAGCCAGCCGTGTGCTAACCCCTGTACAGCAGCCAGGCAGCTTCTCAGCCGCAGCCTCACTTCACCTCATGAGCGCAGGCTCCGTGCCTTTGGGTCTCGTGGGCTTGAGCACAGGTCTGTCTGTAAAAGCTTAGGTGGCCGTGCCCCACCAGAGCCACAGAGATGGTGGCAGCAGCCACGGGGTAGGGCTTGCTGCCACTGCCCCACCAAGGGACACTTCAACAACTGCCCCATCTCATAACTAAGTGACAGAGCCAACCTCCTCGAGCTCTGCCAGCTCATGCACGGGCATTTAGAAACAGGTCCGTTATTTACATACAGCATAAAAACTAAAAAGAAGTGACACCTTTTTAAACTGGATTTGCCTGATTAAAATAGTTAGCTTTGAGACTAGTTAAAGTATGGGATGTTAGAACACCATGGAAAGAGCACATCTACAGCGTATTTTGCTCTGTTATTCAAGTTTTGTTTTGTTTTTTTTTAAAAAGTCTTTTATGATAGGATGTGATGTTAACTATAAAATACGGAGCCTCCTGTTGCAATTCTAATTTAACAGTTCAAATGGGATCTATGTTGTCTAATTTTAGCCATAACTTTAGGAAGTGTTTCAATATTTTTCAAATGCGCATCAAGGTGAGTGCAATAGAAGTTCATTTTTAGAAAGTTAGTTGATTATAACCCAAACTGCATATCATGAAATGATGTATTATTGAAATTTAATTTTTTTTCCTAAGAACCTCAACCTATGACTTTAAAAGTTATCTGATGTGCCCACCCTGAATTTGAAAATACTGCCTTGAAAACGTGCTGCCTGAGATCCTTGACAGAGAGGCTATTTTTTTTTTTCCAAAAAACTCCAACACATGCTATAAAATCAATGGGAGTATAAAGTTAGAACAGTAAAGGAGAAGCTATACCAGGTACATTGTAATCTAGAAATACAACTTCAGAGTATCTAAAATGGATTTCAACTATTTCAAGATTCATTTAATCACTTGCAATTTATATTACTTTAAAAATCTTCTATACAGCAAGTTGAACAGAAAAAAAAAGCAAATATTCTAATAGCCCCTTTTCCCTAGAACAATTTTCATATAAGATAGTATTAAATAGCTATTTTAGGGCATTCCTGCGTGCTCACTCTCTCTCCCCCTTTTCCTAAAGGTGGCACAGCCAAAAGACAATGCAAGAATTGGCATTTGTTCGCTGACTGTTTGCTTCTCCATCTGGTAAAGATAAGGGGAAGACAGAGACCTGAAACACAATGTCCCAAAATGGACAATGTGAACTTGGTGTTTACTTTGCCAAATCTCCAGGGACTTTGTTCTTTTCCTTGGTTATAGTTGATGACAAGCACTTCGCTCTGTGTCTGCGCGTGGCTCTGTGTCTGCGTGTGGCGCTGTGCTCAGGTACAAAAAGTTTTGAATTTCAGCTGTGGATGAATTCATTTTGAAGCTTCTGTTTTGCTTCACCGAACACAGTGCAAACCAAGACAAGAATCTTAAGTAAAATCCAAACAGGAGCTCCCATTAAGAATATTTATGAGCAGCATTTTGTATATTGTTTTCTTTTGTCCTTATTCTGGGGAGGAAGAATCCTCATCTTCATCCTCTTCATCTTCATCATTGAATGAGCACGGAGTTTCTCCTCGTGACTCAGAGTAGCGTGATGTTGCGCTGCTGGACTGCTGACTGCCAGGGGCAGGAACCTGCCCGGTTGCTAAGGCCACTTCAGCATCCAAACACAACCCTGGATTCTCACTATCAAAACAACAGAAATGTTGAAGTTTAGAGGATTTCTTGTGAAGTTTTAGGCTTTCTTTTTGGCCTCAACTTTTCCTTTAAGAAATTTAAAGAAATGCTACTAACAAGGAAAAAACCAAAAGCTTTACATTTAACACAGTTAATAGTTATGAAATCTGCTAAAATATTGGATAGTCACATAAAAAAGATTATTGGGTGGCTTTTTCTTCATAACCAATGAGTAGAATTGCTCAAGCTGAAGAAAGCTTAAAGGAGAATAAATCCATCACAGCTTTGTCAATACTCAGAAACGTTTACAGTGTGAAATTAAGCTATGAAATGCCATGAGGAAGACCTGTTCCAGAATACTCCCTAATTTTAAGCTACAGGTATCCTCCAAGCGAAGTGTGGTTGTTGAGGTGATTTTTGGATTGGGTTTTTGTTAGTGGTGTTTGTTTTCTGTTTGGTTGATTGGGTTTTAATTTAAGACTATGATTAGACTATGTGGACCGAACTGCTTTCATGAGAGCTTACGCAGTAGTGCATTTGGACACTAGACATTCTTTTGTATTTTTCAGGCTTTCTTCCACATGTAATTACCTATTTGTAGTCCATGCCCAGGCAGGAATTTAAGGTTAATCAAGAAATTATATGTCCTTATAAAAAGGGCTTGGAAGCGATTCTATTCTTTTGAAACACAGACACAAAATAGCCAGTATGTTCAAAATTCAAAGCATGTTATTTGACCTTTCAAATATAATTATCGAAGAAGGCAGAATAAGAGACTTTTTCACATTCCAAAATCAACCATAATAGAAAACATCTCATTCCCTGCATGTAAACAGTATGAAATAGTGAGGTTACTGAAAGTACCACAAGCATATATCACTATCCTTGAATAAAAAATTACTGTATTTACCTCGATTTAGCATCAGAATTGCCTCCTGCTCCCTCTAAATGTGAACCTGCTTGTGCCGAACTTGAAAGTAACCCTTGGTTTATCCATGAAAATCCTGTAGACATATCTAGAAGAAAGCATAATTGCATTTATGATAGTTACTTAAAATTTTTTCTTCCTTTTACAATCTTAAACTTTGCATTCTCTTTGTAGTTGGGATTCCTTAGTTTAGAAGAGAAGCTACCAGTAGATTGAGTTGATTTTATACTGTAGATATGTCCTGTTTAATCAAGATAAAATCATATATATATATATATATACACACACACGTATGTATACACCCCCCAGTGTTTGTAGATGCCCTCAAGCCACTCAAGCCTTGCATTCCCTCACCCTCAGTACTGTGGTTATATCTATGAAGCTTCTCCCTGTGTGTGAAGAGAATTCACAGGGCAGATGACCCTGGCTAGTAGCCATATGAAATCATAGGTTTACACTTAGGGTGTATTTTTCGGGGGGGGAGGGGGGGGGCGGTGGGGGTGGTGTGGGTTTTTAATTTGTTTTTTAGATAAGGGCTATTGACGGG